GCCTTGGCGTGACAAAGAGAAGAGTTAAGTTAGAAAGCAAGGAAGAGAAGACAGAGAGAGACTACAGACAAACCCACACCGATTCAGGCCTGGAGTGCCTCTTCATGGGAGCAGCGCAGCCGCGAGAATGCGGCGGTCTTGGCGTGACAGAGAGAAGAGTTAAGTAAGAGAGCAAGGAAGAGAAAGACAGAGAGAGACTACAAACAAACCCACACCGATTGAGGCCTGGAGTGCCTCGTGGGAGCAGACCCGCGACGACGCGGCAGCCTTGGCGTGGCAGAGAGAAGAGTTAAGTCAGAAAGCAAGGAAAAGAAGACACAGAGAGACTACAGACAAACCCACACCGATTGAGGCCCGGAGTGCCTCGTGGGAGAAGAGCCGCGACGATGCGGCAGCCTTGGCGTGACAGTGACGAGAGTACAGGAACAGAAAAGCACGAGACAAACCACGTTGATTGAGGCTCGGGCTGCACAGTCGTGGAAGCGTGGCCGCGATGATGCGGCGGCCTTGGTGTCATAGAAAGAGAAACCGGACGGAGAATGCCTCGCCAACGGAGGGCTGGAAAAGACGGCCCTTCTACGTGCCGCCTGCTGCGGCCTTGGTGTCACAAACAGAAAGGGAAAAAAGAAAGAAACACAGACAAGCAGAGGCAGAGACAAGAAAGAGAGACAGAGAGAGAGAGAGAGAGACAGAGAGAAGAAAGAAAGAAAGAGAGAGAGAGAGAGAGGAGACAGAGACAGACAGGGAGGAAAAGAAACTGTGGGGGGGGAGAAGAAACATGAAGACAGTAGACACTTGTCACTATTCCCACTTCCGTCGAAGAGTCCAGCAAAACAGACGATCATTGAGGCACCTACCATCATTCGCACTTCCATCCAAGAGCGTAGGAACAAGACGAGAATCACTGAGACAATTGCCACTATCTCCAGTGGCATCGCGACATTCGATATGATACAGATTTAGAGCTCTCCTCCTGTACTATATGCAACTCCCTCTGTCCCATCTCTCTTCAAAACAAACTCAGCTGCCATTATTCCTTGACACCACTGACAGGTCCCGAAAGAGCCTGATCACCCACCTCCTCCTGCTCACGTCTCAGTGACGTTCCGCGGACGAACCTCTGTCGGCCGAATGAATCGGAAGCTGCCAAGGTCGTGGTCGCCGACAAGAGCGATGTCGAACCACCTGCTCCAGAGGTGGGCTTTGCTCACGTCTCAATGACGTTCCGCAGACAAGCCTACATCAACCGAATTCAATCGAAAACTGCCAAGGCCGAGATGACCGATGCAGAGATGGAGGACTGCGGAATGCAGTAAGCCTGTCAAAGCTCCAAGCTTTAATCGCGCAGGAGCTTTACGGCGAGCCCGACCAGGATGGATGCTTCCATCTGGAGTATCCCTGGGCTCAGTAGAGACCCGAAACCTTAAACCCTAGACCCTAGCCCCTAAACCCTAGACGCTAGACCTTAACCCTTTACCCCTTAGTTAACCCCTAAACCCTAAACCCTAGACCCTAACCCCTAAGCTCTAGATTCTAGACCGCGCAGGCAAAGAGCGCTCATAGAGTCGAGCAGTTCACGACGTTGATGCAGGCTGGGACAATCAGGCCTCAAAGAACGACAGTTTTTGACCAAGTCGTCGACTTACATGCATTCCGCGTCATCCCCCACCGCGACGATATGCTCCTTGCAAAACTTCTATCAACTTCCTCCTCTAAAACTCCCTTCCTGAAACCTCACTAGACCTAAGCCCTAAACCCTAGATTCTAAACTATGCAGGACATCATCGATGCTTGCAGTGCGCCGGACGAGGACGCAAAGAGCGCTCATAGCATCGAGCAGTTCACTGCGTTGATGCAGGTGCCTCCTGGCGAGTGGATCCTGAGGCTGTTGTAAGTTCGGATGCTTGCAGCCAGTGCCTGTGATATTCCGGAGAAGACGTGCTACATATACGTAGATAGGACCTTAGTCTCTGCTGGTGGCTTCCTGCAAAGGCACCAGGCTGTTGGGGGTCTGACGTGGTTTTGTAAGTTCGGATGCTCGCAGCCAGTGCATGTGATGTTTCCGGAGAAGACTTGCTACATATACGTAGATAAGACCTTATTGTCTGCTGGGGGCTTCCTACGAAGGCACTAGGCTGTTGGGGGTCTGACGTGGTTTTGTAAGTTCGGATGCTCGCAGTCAGTGCCTGTGATATTTCCGGAGAAGACTTGCTACATATACGTAGATAAGACCTTAGTCTCTGCCGGAGGCTTCCTGCAAAGGCACTCGGCTGTTGGGGGTCTGACGTAGTTAGGCGAGATGACGCTCACAGGCCAGTGCCGGCACAATGGCATGTCTGCAGAACCTAGTTTTTCAGGTGAAGACGTGATAAATAAACGCAGATAAGATCCTAGTCTCTGCCGAAGGCTTCTTGCAAAGGCACTGGACTGTTGAGTCCAACGTAGTTTAGGCGAGGATCACTCAGGCCAGTGCTGGCACGATGAAGGCAGTGCAACCGGGTTTCGGGCTTCGGGCGCGTGCCGGGTTTAGGGGTTTGGAATTTCGGGACCTAGGGCTTGGAGGTTTAAGGTTTGGGAGTTTAGGGTTGAGGTTTTAGGGTTTAGGGGTTAAGCAGTGCAATCGGCTTTCGGGCTTCGGGCTCTTGGCGGGTTGAGGGGTTTTAGAGTTTCGGGACCTAGGGCTTGGGGTTTAGGGGTTAAGCACTGCAACAAGGGTGCGAGCAGATTTAGCGAAGACCGTGACAAATTAAAGTGAGTCAATATGCATTTTACATTGTTTTGACCATGGTTCGAATATAGCTTCCAATCAGC